AGAATTCCCAGCCAGCCCAGCAGCAGCTCTGACAGGCCTGGGACTCCGAGGCCCAGAATTCCACGCATCTGAAAGTTGCCGAGATGGAGAGACAAGGCGATGAGGTACCAAGTACCACCCCCAAACCCAACTTCAGAATTAACCGCTAAGCACTCCCTCACGGGCCCGAAGCCACCCTCCTCAGGGAGCCTCCGCGGGGCTCGGCCTGCCGCTTCCTCCGGGGAGCGTCTCCGTAGCCCCGGCTAGCCCGCCGAGGATCTGAGGGGCGGGGAAAGGAGGGGAGGCGGTAGCTCACCTGGCCCGGGCTGCCCGTTGGGAGGACGACGACGAGGCGGAGGAAGACGCCGCCCGAGGGGTCCCAGCCAGGTTCCTCCGGGAGCGGCGCGGCCCCCGCGACTCCGCCACCAGAGAGTCCCGTGAGGAGCGCGCACCCGTCGGACGACGCCCCGAGGCTTCCTCGCGATCGGGCGCTGCGGGCGGCTCCCGCTCGTCGGCCTCGGCCACGGGCGGGAGATCCACCTCCATCGCCTCCTGCGCCGCCATCGCGCTCCCTCTCAGCGGCCAGGCGGCGCGCGCGCCGGCCAGCCGCTCAATCTCCCCGCCTCCTGCCCAGGGGGGCCCCCTTCATTGGCCGCCCGGGAGGCGCGCGAAGGCAGGATTTGATTTCTATTGGACGGTATCCTGAACACCGAGGCGCTCCATTGGGCCTCCTTGACTGTCACTCTTTTGCGTAAACCGAGTGGGAAGGGAAAGGAAAGGAGGCTTGGAAGATGCGCCTGCGCGTTTATAAGCCGGCTGTCAGGGTTTAAAAAAAAAAAGCGGGTTTTTTTTTCGGCCTGATGCGAGAGTTGCGTTTGCGGGTGGGGCGCGTGCAATTCCGTTGGGCATGAAACACACGACTAGAATTTAAAAAACAAATAACCAGTGGAAATAGAAATCCACAGGAAAGAAAATTGCCAGTTTCAAACAGCAACGTTGAATCATTAGATCGATAAATAACGTTTATTGTCATTTTTAAGGCATTATAAGACAAGACATTAGAGAGCAATGGGTAACAATAAAGGAACTGTTATTTTATAGCAGGTGGATTGTGCCATGGTGCATATACCAGGGCAATAGAATGAATTTCCCTCTTTATTTTTAAGACATGAACTTGTTCCTTTTATATGTCCTGTGAAACATCTTTTTCCTTATCTTTCTTGTAAGCTGTCATTTTAAAATCAACTTTCAGATCCGTCTCAGTCTTGTCCAGTAAAAGATATTCCTTTCCGTAATGTCTTTTAAACAAAGTCAGTCTATAGAGGCAGAGAGATTAAAATTAATCAATTAAAAACTAATCAAAATTAAGTTCTGGGTCCATTGTTCAAAAATGATTCTCAGAGTTCATGGCAATGAGACTATCCCTGAAGAATAACAATATTGAAACGTGGAGAAAAAAGAGAGAAGGTTCAGGTGACTACATATCTTCCACAATCACTGATTTTCACTCAAGAAGTCAAGTTGCTACCGTTGTCATCCTGGTCAATGAGGAGCTGGTTCACAATCACTGTGAAGAAGGAAAAAAAAATCAGTTTTCAGAAACCTTCCCACCTCAGTTTTGTAGCTCAGCCTTCGATACACAGGAGCATTTGTCTGATTAATAAATGAGTATCAATTCCACCTTTGCTGGTACTAAGCTACGCATCTCAAGCTGACAGCTTGACATCAGTAACGGGGGAACAGTGTGGGAAGGGACAGTAATAGCAATAGCATTTAGATTTATATACCGCTTCACAGTGCTTTTACTGCCCTCTCTAAGCGGTTTACAAAGTCAGCCTCTTGCCCCCAACAATCTGGGTCCTCGTTTTACCCACCTCAGAAGGACGGAAGGCTGAGTCAACCTGGAGCCTGGTGGGATTTGAACTGCCAAATTGCAGGCAGCCGGCAGGCAGCAGAAGTAGCCTGCAATATTGCACTCTAACCACTGCGCCACCGAGGCTCATATGAAGGGATTCAGAACCCAGATGAATCGAAACTAAGCCTTCCCGTCCCGTGGGGACCACCTGCCATCTCAAGATCACACTAAAGGAATGCGGAGCCATGAATGTGGGAAGACAAGGAATATTTCCCAAACAATCTATTAACACCTGATTGGACATTGACTGATAACCAGGAGTTGGCCAGGAATAAGGGAAAGTTAACTGTGTCATTTGCGCCTGAAAAATCTCAGGTCCAGTTTTGCCTCTTCTGTAACTACTTTGGCTTTGGTAAAGTATATTTTTAGCTAATCATGGGCCAGAGTCTTTCTTTCCTAAACTGACCAGGTTGGAATGGTTGACAGCTGGTGAGATAAGGAAGTGTGAGCACACTTATATCTAGATTCATTGCTCCCTGAATGCACCAATATTGGTGCACCGTTTAGTGTTGCGTTATATACAAAAGTAGCTATAGGTTATGCATCAAACCATAGCTAAAAGCAAATTATGGCTTAGTGAAAGTTGTGGCCCTAACGATGCATCCAAATGCCTGCTGCTTTCTCATACCTTCAGTAGTTGGGCGCTTGGAAGGGTTATAACTCCGACACTGGTTGATGATTGTCCGTAAATAGGATGGACAGTCTTCTCCTAAAGGCTCCTGCACTTTTTGCTCATAAACCTTCTTATAGATTTCTTGAGAGTTGCAACCTAAAATCACAATCAGATAGGTGCCAAGATTTCACATAGACATACGTACATATAGCTTCCCTCTAGAAACTATCACTGGAGTTTTCAAGAAGAGATTATACAACCATTTGTCTGAAGTGGTATACGGCATGAATTTCTCAACTTGGGGTCCTCAGCCCACTATTGGGCTGGGGCCTATTCGCAACCGGACTGCATGAGCCACCAGAGCCCACGCACAGCCCAATTCACGTGAGTGACAGGTGCCAGCGCTTGCAGCCCCAGTTGTGTGAGTGGCGGGTGTATGAACTCATGAACTCCTGCCCCTCGCACAAAACCATCCTGTTCCCCTCCTCCTCTCCCCATTAGGCTGCTAGCTTGGAAAGGTTGGGAAATGCTGGTATAGGGTGTTGTGCAGTGGTGGGATTAAAATAATTTAACAACCAGTTCGCCCAGAGTCAGGTTGGCCGTCGTGGGAGATGTGGCCCGTCCAAATTCTCCAGCTCCACCACACATGCAGGTACAAGCCTCCCGCGATGGCCAATCTGACCCTGGGCAAACCAGTTGTTAAATTACACCCACCCACCCACTATCAAAGTGGATCCTGGATGCTGCAATGGAGAAACGGGGAACGGAGCAGCCGGCACAAGGGGAGGAGGAGGAGCAGGGAGAAGAAGGAGGGAAAGCAGCCTTCTTCCCTCGCGCCGGCTGCTCCGTTGCCTGTTTCTCTATTGCAATGCAGTGCCCAGGATCCACTTTGATAGCAGAGGGGGAAAGAGTAATTTAACAACCGATTTGCATGAACTGGTGTGAATCCGCTGAATCCCACCACTGGTCTTGTGCTTGAGAAGACTTCTAAGATCCCTTCCAATTCTGTAACGCTCCTGAAGTAGCGGTTTGCGATGTATTTCAAATCCAAAATGTTATGAACTCAAAAGTGGCTCCTCATACCTTATCAGCAGTGTTCTGACGCTGTTTGGAGAGACTCTACCAACTGCCTGTCCTGCCAGCTTGAAATGGCCCTGTCTTGACACAATTTACGTTCAGAATAATGGCTTCAGGCTTGAAATGTTCTACCTTCAACTTTTTCCCCCACATAATCTTAAGACAGAAAAATGATCATCAGATCTTTTTTTTCCCCTCTGCTGTACTGCCTAATTTTTTAGCTCCTAGGTCAACTATAGAGCAAGACTTGTCTGTCATTTCAACTCTTGTCTGTCATTTCAACTCAAAAACATGATCGGAGGAGAAAATATAAGAGGGAATGAGGGCCACAAGGAAATTCAGAGAGACGTCTTTGTCAATTTCCTAGAAGTTCCTGAAACAATCCCGTCCAGGTCTTCTGCAGCTTTTACCACCCCAGTTCCTTTCCCTGCAATCCTTCATAACTTGCAGACAGAGGAGTCCAGCACAAACTGAGGCCTCTTTTGGCTACCCTGCCTACCTGTTGTAGGGCAGGACTTGTGCAGTGACACGACTGCGAGTGCTAATTCCACAGAAGTTTGCCTGCTGACAAAAACAGGCCAGCTTGCTTTCTGCCAATAATTGTCAATTCCTGTCTCTCCTGGCATTTTTAGTTGTTGCTGACAAAGAATGATTATAGCACCCTTTTTACAGACTGTCCTCCACTTATGGCCACATTTTGAACCCAAATTTTTTTTATTGCTAAGCAAGGTAGTTGTTAAGTGAGTTTTGCCTCATTTTATGACCTTGCTTGCCACAGTAAGTTAAGTGAATCGCGCAGTGGTGGGATTCAACCGGTGTTACTACCGGTTCAGTGACTACATGCGTGACTATGGAAAAGCTACAACGGTCGTAAGTGTAAAAAGCCATCATAGGTTTTTCAGTGCTGTTGTAACTTTGATCGGTCACTAAACGAATGGTTGTAAGTTGAGGAGTAGCTTTTTCTGAAAGGCAACTGGATTTTCTTTTAACTTTGAAAATGTTTTGCTTCTCTTCCAAGAAGCTTTTTCAGTTCTTCATGAATGGAAGAAGCTTCTTGGATGAGAACGAAAAGTTGTTGTTTTTTTAATTAAAAAAAAAAAAACCAAACAGACAAACAAGAAAATTCAGTTGCCTTTTGGTAAAAGCACTTTTGGGACAACTCTGACCCAGATTATGGAGAATCTCCAGAGACACTGAGGACTTCCTGAATTTTATTTTTTAGTGCTGCCTTCTGCCCCTTCTGCCTGGGTTTTTCATATCCATTTCCAAGACTCCAGTAACAATTTTATTGGCCGCGCTGCAGAGATCTGTACTTGCAAAGGTGAAATAATCAGGGAGAGTCCTTAAGCAAAGCCCAACTGATCATCTTCTGAGATCATCCCTCCTAGGGTGTGTTGAAAGAGGGATCTTTCCTGACTGCTGCAAAAAAGGGGGCTTGACCTGCCCAAGAGAAGAGGGGGGAAGCAGCAAATGTGAAAGAGAAACAAGCGGGAAAACAATGAATCACCCCAAACTATAGCCAGCTGGTTTCTGTCTCCTCAGATAAAAAGGAAGTTCTGGGAACCTTTTGTGCAGATTCAGAAAATCCAACTTCCTCAACCCAAGATCTGGGAAGGTCCTCGACCCAGGTTTCACTTCTGCAGGCTCTTGATTCAAAAACTCCTCCATTTCAGGAGGCTTCAACACAGCCATTCCGGGCTGCTCTGGAATCAATGCCTCCCTCCCGGGCTCCATCTCCAATGGCTGAGCTATGACCACTGCAAGAGGAAGGGCCAGAGGGGTCTTTATCAGCATTGACCACAGCTGAGGGCAGCTTTCCTTCTTCCCTGCCGATGGGGAAGTAGGACGTGGCACTGATCAGCAGGAAGACAAATCTTGAGTCCTGCTCAGCGATAAGGCAGCTTAAGCTGGGCAACTTTAAGATGTGTGGACTTCAACTCCCACGTTTCAACTTTAAGCTGGATGGACTTCATGGCTGGCTGGAGAATTCTGGGAACTGAAGTCCACCCATCTTAGAGTTGTCAAGGTTAAGAAACGCTGCCCGGGGGGGCGCCACGAGAAACAGCCCCGACTTTAGAGAAGGATTAGGGGAGACACGATAGCTGTCTTCCAATATTTGAGGGACTGTCAAAGAGGAGATGGACTTATTCTCCAAAGCATCTGAAGGCAGGACAAGAAGGAACAGGTGGAAGATCATTAAACAGAGATCCAATCTAGAATTAACGAGGAAACTTGTTAGGAATAACCATAGTTACCTAACGTTGTTTGGGTAAATAATATATAAACCATGATAGCAAAGTTTAAATGTGTTTTTCACTTTAAACTCTAAATCAAGGGTCCCCAACCGCCGGTCCACGGACCGATACCGGTCCGCGGAACAAGTCTTACCGGGCCGCTGGTTGCTGGGCGCCGCCATCTTTTTTTGGTAAAAAAGTGCTTCCGGTGACCTTTTCTGGGTAGAAAGCTCACCGGAAGCACTTTTTCATCAAAAAAAGATGGCAGCGCCAGCGCTTCCGGTGAGCTTTTCCGGGTAGAAAGCCATTTCTACCCGAAAAAGCTCACCAGAAGCTCTGGCGCCGCCATCTTTTTTGACAAAAAAGTGCTTCCGGTGAGGTCACTGGAAGCACTTTTTCGTCAAAAAAAGATGGCGGCGCCCAGTTGATGCCGGTACCGGGCCGTGGCGCCCAGCTGATGCCGGTACCGGGCCGCGGCGTCAAAAAGGTTGGGGATCACTGCTCTAAATGATATAATTTGGGTGCGGTTGAGAAACTGCCATAAGAGGGAGCTAGAGAACCTGGATTGCTACTGGATTGATGGTTGATTGTTCTGCGTGTTCCCTGTTGCTGACCTCGAAGGAAGAAAGAGTTTTGAATGCTGCATATCTAATCTACTGTGAGAAGATATTTACTGATTTATGGATTGACATTGTAAGTTAACTGACTTTTTTGACACTGGATTTTTGCACTTGAACAATCTCCGGACTGAACTGAATGAACACCAGTGAATGATATTTGGACTGTTTGACCCTGCTAAACTCTTCATGGAATAAACTATTCAACTAAGACAGTGTATCCGTTTTTACTGAGTGTGAAAACTAAAGCACGCTTTCTCTCATATTCGCCTGACTGCCTGACTGCTGTGCACATTCTGCTAGGGTATATCCCTAACAAAACTTCTTGACAAAGAAAGCAATTAAACAATGGAACAGCTTGCCTCTCAAAGTTGGGTGCTCCATTACTGGAGGCTTTTAAGAAAATATTGGACTACCCCCTTTTGGCAGGGGGCTGGACTAGAAGACCTCCCAAGTCCCTTCTATCATACCCTTGTTGGAATCTGATTTGGAGGGAGAGGTGGAACAGCTGACAGGGAGTGGGAGTGTGGCTCGGGTGGCCGTGGAGGAAACGGGGGAAGGGCACAGTCCAGCTGGGCATTCAGACAAAGACCCAGGCCCACCCCCTCTTCACCCTAGGGCACGCAGGGAGGAGTGGAGAAGGGAGCAACATGGCTTACGGGAGAGAAAAAGGCCCTGATCCCTTTCATTAGTTACAGCTGGGAGAACAGGATATAAGTGGGGTGTTTGCACATAGCTTCTTGCTGGAAGCAAAGCCTGCATTATCTTTGTCGAGGCTTATCTGGGTTTTGGCATCCTCCCAACTGTGGGTGCTGTGTTATCCTTTGGAAGTCTGCAATTTATCATCCTGGCCTGTCATGTTAATTACTTCAGCGTGGTTTGTGTTGTTGTTTTTATTTCTAATTATCTTTACTTTGGGTTCGGACTGCAAGTTTCTTTCCTTCGTAGACTGTTTTTTGAAGAGTTTGATCTCCAGCCAAGGATAATTGGACATTGGGGGCCAAGTTGGAGGCATCAAAGGGAATTTATTCTACTTTTATGACTTTGTGTCACACCCTGGGTCATCACACCTTCCATCCCCACGATTCTATGTTTTACACAATGGTTGTGCCACAGGATGAAACAGGAAGACCCCTGTGCCCTTCTGTTTTCCCTGCAGCATCCTCCCCCGTAGAAGAGAACCCAGACCTTCCCCCAAAGAAGACCCCAGCCCTCACCTGTAAAGGGAAGCTTCCCAGTTGCGATCTCCCACAGCACAATTCCAAAGCTGAAAGAAAGGAAGGCAGCAGCTATCACACAAGGGGGCCGAGAGCTGGCAGCTCCTTCCCTGCCATGATCAAGCCTGGCAGTGGTCCATCTGAATGGGCCTTGACACATTGGCCAGATTCGCACAATACTATATTCAGCTCCAACCAACCAAACCACATCCTGGCTTAGTTGATTCTATTGATGCCAGGCTGTCAAACTCCCAGCCTGTGGGCTGGATGCATCACGCACTGGCCACGCTCACCCCCAGTTTAGCAAAGGGGGGGGAAAGTCGCAATACGTCACCTGATGATGTGACATCGCGAGTTTGACACCCATGTACTGAAGGCTAGCTAACAGTGGCCTATTCAATAAACCATGGTTAAGAAACTGCTGATGGGTGGTGTGGATGGAGCCGCTGTGGGATTCATGGTCCGCGGCTCCACCTTGAAGGACACCAAGGGTGTGTCATGGCATTTTGCCCTTTTTTAAACCCCTCTCCCTCCAGATGGCAGCCTGCAACCAGGGCAGAGTCAGTGCTAACTAGGGGTTTGGAGGTCTTCAGCAGAATGCCTCCTGGGGTGCCCCCTCTCAAGGAAAGCCTGCCTCCAGGGGTGAGATTCTACCAGTTCGGACTGGTTCAGGCCAACCAAATGTTAAATTTGTATCTGGTTCACCAAACCGGTATTTGAACCGACCGGCTGGCCCCGCCCACCCCTCCCCTCCCAGGAGTCTCCACGTGGTCTGTTTTGGAGGCAGGTAAGTTCAGGGTCCAGGCGGAGGTTCTGTGAGGGGGGGAAATGGCACTCCCATAAGTACCAGAAGTTGTGAAACAGGCCTATGTCAGCTTTAAAATTCAGCTGTCACATTTCATGGAAGGGGGATGGAGGAGTTGAAAAGTTCAAGGTTATTCTGTATGTCGTATTAAGAAATTCCAGTGCAGTTAATTGGTTCTCGTGATTTATGAAGTGTAGAAGTGGGAGGAGAGAAGGTGGATTCTGTGTAATGCATGAAAATACTTTCACTTTGGGAAATTGCCTTTGACATGCCAGATCTGTTTCTAAATAAATCAATTGGAGAGAAAATGTCTCAGAGTGATTGATATCATGGATACTTTCTGGATGCTTTACAGCCTGTTTCCAGCTTCCGGAGGGCCTCCCGAGCCTGCGGGAAGCTGTTTTCGCCCTCCGGGAAGCCTCCGGACCCTTTGGAAGGTGAAAAACGGTCCTCTCGGAAGTACCAGAAATCCGGAAACAGGCCTGGTTCCAGCTTCTGGAGGGCCTCCAGAACCCAGGGGAGGCGGTTTTTGCCTTCCCAGAAGTTTGAGGGAAGCCTCCGGACCCTTGGGAAGATGAAAAATGGCCCTCTCGGAAGTTCCAGTAGGCCATGCCTACCATGGCCACACCCACCCAGCAACTGGGTAGCAAACCGGTTGCTGGGATTTTTGAATCCCATCCTTGCCTTCCTCCCCTTCTCTCCAGGATCCGGTCTCCACAGTGGGCCACCAGCCATGACAGGGCCACTCCTGCAGATTCCTTTCTCAAGGAAAGCTGAGTCCACTCATTCTGCTAAGCCTCAAAGTGGCCTATTGTGTGAATCCAGGCACTGTGGCCGCTAGTCCAAGGTTTATAACTTAGTATGTCGTGCATACCCAGCTATTGGAATTTAGTCAAGTCATGGTTAAAGAAAAGGAATATGACATCTGAACTCTGTCACTTCCTCCTTTCATTGCTGCTCACATCAGGGAATCTCCAGAAAGGAAACTGAGGGAGATTTGATGCAACAGAAATCACAGACATTCGGCGTCTCTTTTCAAGGGCCTCTGGAGAGATGAGGGAGGGACATGTGGCCATAGATTGCTGGCTCTCTGCACAACACCCTTAACCTTGATCCTGAATTAACCCATTTTCTGTGCTCACACAACCCCATGAATTCTAAAACAAATTGGAAAAGGCTAAACTGCATACAGACTGGTATACAGTGGCCATCCTAATCCAATTTAAAATTAATCAAGTTTAACATGACACAGTAATGCAGAATTCGGTCTGAAACTGACCCCGTTAAACCAAGGCCATACTGAGCTTCAGAAAATGATGTGTTGACCCCACCTAACTCTTCATAGCTGCAAAGAGGCAGGTGTCAACTCATACAATATTTCTATGGTCTTTTTAGAGTTGCCAACAGAAAGGGAGGGGGGAGCAGTGCGGCAGCTTGGAAATCAAAAGTGCATTCCATAAATAGTTTTCAAAGATAGTAACTAGGTGACTGAAATTTCTGCCATGCAAAATTCTAACTGGAGAGCATGATTGATGACTCTTGGCTATGGATGTGTCCCATTGGAGAATATGAATTATGATACACCCAGGGGGTGGGGGGGGGAACCAAGAGTGACAATGAATGATGTGTCTCAGAGTCAGCTACATCCAGGCAGTGCTGGCATGTTAACTCCCAATAAATCCTTTGGAAGTTTTGGAAGTTTGGTTCGAGACTCATTATTTAATTGGGGTAACTGCCAGAATCCTGACAGCTGGATACATACCTGTATATTTCACTAGCCAAGTTGTACGGATGGTATAAAGAGGCCAGGCCCTCTGGACAGATATAGGCTAAAGAAGAGACCTCCCTGGGGACTTTATTTTTGCTTTTTCCACTGATGGAGGACTCTGTCTGGTCCAGTTTAAATCCTGACAGCTGAATGGAATGGAGAGAAAGTGAGTTCTCTGAAACCTGTTTGGAAATTCATCGAAATTCATCAACAGTCAACAGAGTTACTAAGACTAAGACATGAAGTAAGTGCCACTTTATAAAGCCTTAGTAAGGCCACATCTGGAATACTGCATCTAGTTTAGGTCACTACATTACAAAAAAAGATGTTGAGACTTTGGGAAAAAAAGTGCAAAGAAGAGAAACTAAGATGATTAAAGGGCTGGAGATGAAAATATACGAAGAACCATTTCAGCAATTGGATATGTCTAATCTAGAGGGGAAAAAGGACCAGAGGGAACATGATAGCAGTATTCCAGTATTTGAGAGGCTGCCACAAAGAGGAGGGGGTCAATTTATTTTCCAAAGCACCAGAAGGCAGGACAAGAAGCAATGGATGGAAACTAATCAAGGAGAGAAGCAACCTGGAATTAAGGAGAAACCTCCTGAGGACAAGTAACCAATGGAACAGCTTCCCTTCAGAAGTTGTGGGTGCTTCATCCCAGGAATTACAACCTTTCTTGCCGTGGCTGTTAAGCGAATTGCTGCAGTTTGTTAAGTTAGCAACACTGTTGTTCAGTGAAACTGGCTTCCCCATTGGCCCTGCTTGCCGGAAGGTCGCAAAAGGGGATCGTGTGACCCCAGGGACACTGCGACCGTCATAAATATGAACCAGTTGCCAAGCACCCAAATTTTGATCACGTGACCCTGGGGATGCTGCAATGCTCATAAGTGTGAAAAACGGTCATACGTCCCTTTTTTCAATGCCATTGTAACTTTGAACGGTCAGTGAATGAACTGTCGTAACTTGATAGCATAGGAACACTACATGCAGACTAACCTTTACACAGTAGCCCTTGGCAACCAAGAATTTGGAACTGTTGATGCAACGATGCAGCTGGCACTTGTCTCCCGTCTGGTGCAACCTGCAGCCAACAAAAGGGAAGAGCTTCACCCAGTTCTTACATACAGTTTATAGCCATAGTACTTAGACTTATATACAGCCTCACAGTGCTTTGCATCCCTCTCTGAGCAGTTTGCAGAGTCAGCCTCTTGCCCCCAACAATCTGGGTCCTCATCTTGGAAGGATGGAAGGCTGAGTCCACCTTCAGCCGGTCAGGATCAAACTCCTTGCAGTGGGCAGAATCACCCTGCAATACTGCATTTTAAGCACTGTGCACCAAGGAAGGAAGAAAGGAGGGAGGGAGGGAGGGAGGGAGGGAGGGAGGGAGGGAGGGAGGAAGGAAGGAAGGAAGGAAGGAAGGAAGGGGAAAAATAAGAACAAGAGCAATAGCACTTATATACTGCTTCACAGGGCTTTGCAGCCTTGTCTGAGTGGTTTACAATGTCAGCTTCTTGCCCCCAACAATCTGGGTCCTCCTTTTGCTGACCTCGGAAGAATGGTCATCCTTCAGCTGGTCAGGATTGAACTGCTAGCAGTGGGCAGAATCAGCCTGCAGTACTGCATTCTAACCACTGTGCACTGAGGGAGGGAGGAGGGAGGAGGAAGGAAGGAAGGAAGGAGAAAAAGAACAATAGCAATAGCACTTATATGCTGCTTCACAGTGCTTTACAGCCCCCTCTAAGCAGTTGACAGAGTCAGCCTGTTGCCCCCAACAATCTGGGTCCTCATTTTACTGACCTCAGAAGGATGGAAGGTTGAGTCAACCTTCAGCCTGGTGAGAATTGAACTGCCAAATTGCAGGCAGGAAGCACTCAACAGAAGTAGCCTGCAGGACTGCACTCTAGCCACCGTGCCACGGTGGCTTTTTCCCAAATCTAGGACAGATCTGATCCCTCAGGGCACACCAGGCAGCCAAGGTTCAGTCAATGAGTCCTTTGCTAGGACCTAAAAACTCATCGTTCATGGATCAGGATGTCTTGAAGACCATATGGGAAGGCTGGGACTGAGATCTCTGGAAATGTGAAGCTTGTAGGAGCTGTGGTGGTGCAGTGGTTAGGATACTGCAGGCTAATTCTGCCAGGAGTTTGATCCTGATTGGCTCAAGGTTGACTCAGCCTTCCATCCTTCCAAGGTTGGTAAAATAAGGACCCAGATTGTTTAGGGTAATAGGCTGACTCTGCAAATCACTTAGAAAGGGCCGCAAAGCACTGTGAAGTGGTATATAAGTCTAAGTGCTATTGTTATTCTTTCCCACGTTTCCCACATGAAGCGGTATATAAGTCTAAGTGCTACTGCTATTCATTCCACATTCATTCCCACATAAAGCAGTATATAACTCCGTGATGGCGAACCTATGGCACGCAGAGTCATTTGTGCCGGCACGCAAGCCCCAGGCAAACTTACCTCACTGCACATGCATGCGCCTCACAGCTGATTTTCGGCTGGTTTGAGGCCTTTCTCGGCCTCCCAGAGGCTTCAGGAAGGTGTCTGCAGGCTTCTGCAGCCTTTGCAGGCCCAAAACTAGGCCCATTTTAATCACTTCCTGTTTTTCCGAAAATACTGGAAGTGATGAAACTGGCCTAGTTTTTGGCCTGCAAAGCCTGCAGAAGACTTCCTCAAGCCTCTGGGAGGCCGAAAAAGGCCTCAAACTGGCCGAAAATCAGCTGTGAGGTGCAGTGCAGGTAAAGGGGCGGCGAGGGTGGGTGGGGATTGTGTGCACATGCATAGGGGGCGTGGGGGTGTGCGCATTGCCTTCTGGATGCTGGCATACGAGCGCAAGCATGCAAGCTAGTGCACAATTTTTGGCACAGGAGCCCAAAACAGTTAGCCATCACTGGTCTAAGTGCTATTGATATTCTTTCCCTCATGAAGTGGTATAGAAGTCTAAGTGCTATGCTATTGCTATTGTCAGGACAGGATGAGACAATAACTGGTGTTGAGGACCAACCTTCAGGAGCACCTGCTCCTTCTCCCCTCCAGCCACACACACCTGTACAGCCCAGCGGCTGCATCCGAAGCCATGTCACAGCGAATCTTCCAGGGCAGGTCCTGTTCCTTTCTCAACACTTCCCTCAGGGTGCCTTTTTCACAATATTCGGTGATGATGGAGAACTGGGGGACCATCCCTAAAGGAACAAAGGTCCTCCATGAGTGGATGCTACTCCTGGGAGTCTGCCTATGATTAACCATGGTGGGATACAAAATAAGCACAGTCACAAAAAACAGGTGAAGCCCCTTTTATTTATTTATTTATTTATTTATTTATTTGATTTGCCAATTGTTTACAAGATAATAAGTATAAGTGTATACATAGTTGTGAATACATGAAATGGGTACATATAAGAAAAATAAAAGAATAAGAGAAACAATAGGACAGGGACGGTAGGCACGTTGGTGCGCTTATGCACGCCCCCTACAGACCTCTTAGGAAAGGGGTGAGGTCAATAGTAGACAGTCTAAGGTTAAAGTTTTTGGGGTTTGGGGAAGAAACTACAGAGTCGGGTAGAGTATTCCAGACATTGACCACTCTATTGCTGAAGTCGTATTTCCTGCAATCAAGTTTGGTGCGGTTTACTTTGAGTTTGTATCTATTGTGTGCTCTTGTGTTGTTATGGTTGAAGCTGAAGTATTCATTGACAGGTAGGACATTGCAATGTATGATTTTATATACCATGCTTAAGTCAGACCGAAGACGGCGTAATTCAAGGTTTTCAAGTTCTAGAATTTCAAGTCTGGTGGCATAAGGTATTCTACAACGAGTAGAGGAGTGGAGAACTCTTCTTGTGAAATATTTCTGGACTTTCTCAATTGTGCTAATATCAGATACGTAGTGTGGGTTCCAGACTGATGAACTGTATTCGAGTATTGGTCTAGCAAATGTTTTGTATGCTCTGGTTAGTAGTGTGATATTACCAGAGAAAAAGCTACGTAGGATTAGGTTAACAACTCTTAATGCCTTTTTGGCTATGTAGTTGCAGTGGGCTCTAGCACTTAGATCATTAGAGGTGAGTATTCCAAGGTCCTTTACAGAGCTTGAGTCATCAACAAGATCTTGACTATTCAGCTTGTATTTTATTTTCTGATTTTTTTTGCCAATATGTAAGACAGAGCATTTATTTGTTGAGATTTGAAGTTGCCATTTGTTTGACCACTCCGATACATAGTCAAGATCTTTTTGTAGGGTAGCAGTATTGTCTGTGGTATTGAACAGCTTTACATCATCAGCGAAGAGAACGCAATTGCTCTTAATATGATCACAGAGGTCGTTTATGTAGAGTATGAAGAGAGTTGGTCCTAGAACACTGCCTTGGGGAACACCACTATTGACAGGTACTGGATTTGATAGTACGCTCCCGATTTTGACCATTTGTTGTCTGTTTGACAGGAATGCTTCTATCCAGTTATTCAGTTGTCCAGAGATACCATAGGATTTTATTTTTAGGAGTAGTTTGTCGTGTACCACTGAATCAAAGGCTTTACAGAAGTCTATGTAGATTGCATCTATTGCTTTGCCCTGGTCGAGTTGTGTCGTCCATATGTTTTTGCAGTGTAAGAGTTGCAGATTACAGGATAGTTTTTTTCTGAAACCAAATTGTTTATTGGAGAGTAGGTTATTTGTCTCTAAGTGAAGGATGATGGATTGGTTAATAATTGATTCCATGACTTTACAGGTGACGCAGCATAAGGAGATTGGCCTGTAATTTTCAACTAGGCTTGGGTCTCCCTTTTTGAAGATGGGGATGACTGTGGCTTGTGACCATAGGTTAGGCAAGGAGCTGGTTCTGAAAGATTATTCGTTCACTTTGCTTTCAAGCTTCAAATATCTTGACTGTAGACAAAAAAAACTCCCACACAAGAGTTACTAGAAGGAGGAAATGCCGTTTAAATTATAAATCAAGGTCAAGGTTAACTGCACCAAACTTGATTGCACGAAATACGACTTCAGCAACAGAGGGGTCAATGCCTAGAATACTCTACCTGACTTTGTGGTTTCTTCTCCAAACCCCAAAAACTTTAACCTTAGACTGTCTACTATTGACCTCACCCCTTTCCTAAGAGGTCTGTAGGGGGCGTGCATAAGAGCACCAACGTGCCTACCGTCCCTGTCCTATTGTTTCTTTTATTTTTCTTATATGTATCCATGTATTCATAACTATGTTTTTACTTATACCTATTACCTTGTAAGCAATTGACAAAATAAATAAACAAACAAATAAATAAACAAACAAACAAACAAACAAACAAATAAATAAATAAATAAATAAATAAACAAATAAATAAACAAATAAATAGTAAAAAACAACACAAACCAGGCAAGATAAGGGCTGGAAGACAGCCACAGATATCAGTACACACACCAAAGGACGCCAAACTCAGAGACGAACAATAAAGTAGAGATATTTCCACGCTTTGTTTCCAGCACTCGCCCATAAAAGCTGTTACTTTTTCCAAATCTTTGCTTAAGTCTCTTTTTGGCACTTTGATGACTTGAGTACATTTTGGGCCTTACACAACCTTCCTGGTTGGCTTCAAACATGCAAAACCAATGGGGGAAGCCAGATCCACTGATTCACTGAACGACTGGAGGGATTCGCTTAACCCACCCAACCCCGTGGCAAAAAAGGTCATAACATCCAGAGCAACTCACTTAAAAACCGCCTTGCTTAGCAATGGAAATTCTGCTCATAGATTGTGGTTATTATATTCCTCCAAGGAAGCCTCTTCTCCAAATCCCAAGCCAGTCCAAAGAGCTTACCGCTTTCATCAATGCAGATGCCGTACAAGCGCACAATGTAGGAGGACTCCAACCTTTTCAGAGTCCTGATCTCCTCCTCAAAGATCTCCCTCACCTTCCTGTAGGAAATTGAACAGGGTCAATCTTCAGCAGGAGCTGATGGCCTCGCCCACAAATCCCACCCAAGGAGAGAGAAGGATTTGCATCAAGGAGGTAGAGACATACTTTTAATTCAGAGCTAAAACAGAATCCCGCCTCATATTTTTGGATAGTTCAACCCCCACCTCTTACTGGGAATCGACTTCAGGTGGCAACCCTGAACTGACCTTGTCTTATCTCAGAAGCCTGAGCAGGTCAGTCCTTGGATGGGGGACCACCAGAAGTGGCTTCCCATTGCCTCCTTCCTACTTTTACTTTTACTTTTACTTTTACTTTTACTTTTACTTTTACTTTTACTTTTACTTTTACTTTTACTTTTACTTTTACTTTTACTTTTACTTTTACTTTATTGTCATTGCAACTCGTACAGTGAAATTAAACACTATCTTCAGTGCACATCATGACCATGACCATGAAAATAAACACAAACACACATCCTTCACATTCTATATATTGAATTGAAAACCCCTGATATTGCATTCATATTGCACTATACAGTAGAATTCAACAGAGCTACTGCCCTGGGATAGAAGCTGTTTTTCAGCCTATTTGTCCTTGTTTTTATTATTATCGTGTACCGTCCGCCAGATGGTAATAGTTAAAAAAAAAAGGGGTGCCCAGGATGAGATGGATCTTTGAGGATGTTTTGAACTTTCTTAAGGCAGTGGGAGCTACAAAGCTCTTCCAAAGAGGGGAGAGAGCAACCCATGATCCTCTGGGCAATGACATTAACCCTCTAGAGTGCTGTCCTATCTGCCCCAGTGGAATTGGCAAACCAGACAGAGGTGCAGTAAGTTAAGATACTCTCTATGGTGCAGCAGCAGAAGGTTACCAGCAGTTTTTCATTCAGTTGTTGTTTTCTGAGAAGTCTCAGGTAGTATAATCTCTGCTGGGCCCTTTTGACCAGGGCTGCAACGTGAGCACAGCTAGGGTGGAGAGAAAGTGACTGGCCTAAGCAGTGGTGCAATTCAACCGGTGTAACAACCGGTTTGGTGAGCGTGCATGGCCAGCATTTAGAAAAGACCATTTTTAGCTATAATACTTACCTTCTGCTGCAGTCCCGATGAGTAAAACAATGGATGCATGGCCAACCGCTCTGCCGCATGAATCGGCTGTGCTCCAAAACAAAGAACTAAAGCACAGAAAAGAGCAGGGGCCAGTGGGCGGGGCCAAATGATCACTGGAACTACCGGTTCACTTGAACCAGTCCAAACCAGTAGAATCCCACCTCTGGGCCTAAGGTCACCTTGCCCACTTTGTGTCTAAGGTAGGACTAGAACTCAGTTTCATAGCCTTAACCACCTCAAATTGGCAGTTCACCAAGACATCTTTCCCCAACTTCAATGGACAAAGGACGAAAGGGAGACGTGGGAACAGCAGTGATAAACAATGCGAAAAGCAGAAAGTGGATGTAACAGCTGGAGGAAAAAGCCGGCTTAACTTTTTGACTCGACTAGCAGGTTCTACCATCCCCACAACCGCCCTTCTTCACTCACTTTGTGTTGGTGGTCAAAGGATTTTTGAAGACTTTGACGACCACTGGACTTTTGTAATATTCTCCTTTGTACAGGATGTGGTCTTTCATCTCCAACAGAAAAGTCATCTTGGTTAGAAAGTCCTTGTTTATCTCTGTGATTTCTGTACGAGCTTCTCCCTGCTGCCCTGGAAACAAGGATTGAATAGAACAAAAACAGTGAGACTAGGATCTTGCCCTTTTCAGTCACAAAAATAAAAACAACCCAAAGGACAGAGGGGCTTTCCAACAACATTTGAAGAGTGAGGCAGAAAAGGTGAAAATGCTGGCTGAGACAGGATGGCCGAATCTCTGTGTGTTTTTATGTGCATCGCATTATGTGTATTGCATTATCCTACTGTAAGCCACCCAGAGTCACCTTGAACTGCAACATGGGTGGCAAAAAAAGTCTGGATAGTGGGCGTGGCAGTACCTGGAGACAGCGGAAAGAACTAGAGAAGATCACAAAATACAAAGACCTGCAAATAGAAATAGAACGACTGTGGCAAAAGAAAGCAAAAGTAGCACTGATAGTAATAGGAGCTTTGGGTGCAATCCCAAAACAATTGGAGCATCACTTGAACATCATCGGCATTGACAAAATCCCCATCAGTCAATTGCCAAAGGGTTTTGCTTAGAACAACTGACTTCCCGTGATGATACCGCTAACATCATCAAACATCCATCTCAGGTTATCCCAGGTCCCTGGAAAGGACTCGGCAGGTGGACAAAAATGCCAAATCCAGTCTGTACACCTGGCTGTCTGGGCAACAAACCATAATATTAACACAAATGCACATACATCTGGATACCGCTGTAAAAACTGGAAGGAAAAAGGTGCTTTCTTTCAAAAGGCTTTCTTGTTTTGCTTAAAAATGTTTTCGCTTCTCATCCAAGAAGCTTCTTCAGTTCTGACTGAATGGTGGAGAATGGAGGAATTTATATTCCTTGCAGTCATCTGGTTATTAGTGCTCTTTCTGAGAATCATTGAGGCCACTTAAAGGTTTAACTGTGTACTCAGGGTCTGCTAACGACCAGGTGATTGCAAGGAATATAAATCCTACCATTCCCCACCATTCAATCAGAACTGAAGAGGCTTCTTGGATAAGAAGCAAAACGTCTTCAAGCAAAACCAAGAAAATCCATTTGCCTTTTTGAAAAAGCATCTTTGGGACAACCATGACCTGGATAACTGAGAATCTCTCTAGAAAAGAAAAAGGCAAGACAGAATTTTTCTACCGGGCACTGTTTGTAAGATCTTTGGGAAATGATGCTAAATACTTTCCACCTATCATTCTTCTTTTAGATTTCCTCTTGTAGGTTTTGGTGTGCTGGGTTGTCTCCATAGACAGGTTCCATCCATCCACAGTGCTAGATTTTTTTTTAAAATGTCTTTCCTTTTCCCTTCCAGTTTTCATAGCAGCGTCTATACGTCTGTTTGTGTGCTTGGAAGACATTTGCCTAACGGTGGCAATATTCATGTTCTGATGTTGACTGTCAAATGCAGTCACAGCTTTCAGGCGTGGCTCATCCTCTTTAAGAAATCAGGATGGCCTCTTTTGAAGACAAAAGAGAGAAGCTGCCTGACCTCAAAATATTAGGAAATGAGAGTGCTGACTGTGGTAGTCAAGATGCAACAGTCCAAATACAATGGTTGGAAGGTCACCAAAAAAAGGGGACCTTCTCCAACTTAATTCTGGCCAAAAAGCCTATTTAGAGGTGGAAGACACTTCCAGAAGAAGTGAGACCACAGGGCAGCTTTCCCAGGTGAGAATCCCGCAGAGGAGAAACTTTCTGACAGTGAGGACAATCCACCCATGGAACAGAAGTTGCCCTCGGAAGTTGTGGGAGCTTCATCACTGGAGGCTTTCAAGAAGAGATTGGGCTGCCATCTGTCAGAAATGGGGTAGGGTCTCCCACTTGGGCGGGGGTTGGACTAGATGACCTACAAGGTCCCGTCCAACTCTGATTATCTATATTATCTGAGGAACCAAATTCCAGAATTCCCATCCTGAGTTAGCATTTTATCTCCCATTGAACATGCCTGTTCTGACCCAGACTTCATCAAACGTAATTAATATCAAACTTGTTTTAAAAGCAAAACCTATTTTATTGCAACGCTGGGAATTGCTTTATTTCCCAGCCAGAACAGGGGTGGGATTCAAATTACTTAACAACTGGTTCTGTGGGCGTGGCCTAATTTGTGGGTGTGGCTTGGTGACTGGGTGGGTACAGCTTGCTGACTGGTCATGTGACTGGGCGTGGCTAGTGGGTCATGTGACTGGCTGGGCAGGCTAGTGGGTAATGTGACTGGGGTGGGCATGGCTAGGTGGCCAAGTGACTGGCAAACCGAATATAAGTGGTCCTCGCTTAATGGCCAGTTGCTTAGCAAGTGTTCTAATTTATGACTGACCTCCCCAGAGCTACTTGACCTGTTTTGGTGTTTTGACAGCCATGCGCGTGTGTGCGCGCGCACACACACACACACACACACTTATGACCAGTTACAACATCTCATACAGTTTTGTGACTGAGGTTTTCTATGTTTTTTGCCAGTTTCCAACAATTCCTTCTGGTTTCCGGTTAAAAATGCCCATTGGGAAAAATGGACTTGTTTAACAACCACAGTGTTTGCTTAATGACCACAAGGTTCACTTAATGACCATGGTGTTTGCCTACCCCTGGGTCTGCAACCTTAAAACTCAAAGAGCCACGGCTATCTCTCTCTGTCTCTTTCTCCCTCTCTCTTTCTCATCTCTTTTTCTTTCTCCCTTTTTCTTTCTTTCTCTCTCTCTCTTTCCCTCCCTCCCTCTCTCTGTCCCTCTCTGTCCATCCCTGGGGTGGGGGAGAAGGAATATAAGTCACTTTTTTCAGTGCTGTTGTAACTTTAAATGGAGGCTAAACAAACAGTTGTAAGTCAAAGACTATCTGTATCTGCAGCTTTAACCTTCCAATTAGCATCTAACTAGATTTCTGCTGCACCTCTGCACCAGGCACAATGGGATAATTTCCTTATTCCCAAAAGGCAGGAAAATAACCCAGGCTCATAAGAAGTTGTACTTCTGAATGTTTTCCAAGCTTAGCAACTTTAAGACATGTGGAGTTCAATTCCCAGAGTTCCCCAGGCAGCATGAGACCTGATCATTTGATTACTCCCAAGTCAGTAACATGAAAGAATTACCAACTTTAAAGATACTGAGTGTTGGAAGAAAAATCCTTCTGGGTTCAGTTCCGGGGGGGGGGGGGGGGAGACACTGGAAAGATGGTTTAATGGTGGACAGGATCACATGCCTTGGGTGAAGAAAGAAGGGAAAGGGCTGAGATGCTGAGAGTCCCTTAATTATATAACCTCTGTGGGGCCCCACCTTAGCGTTTCCTGTCCCTGTGCAAGAAATGCATCCCATTGGCTGTCAGACTCCCAGGGGGCGGGGTCTTAGCTAATTTTGTAGGCTTTGTCTGGACCACATGGCTTCACCTGTGTACTAGCTGATGCAATCTTTCCAGGCCAGGTGGGGAGATGGGCAGAGGCCTTTGTCATGTAGAATACTCTGGTCCGGGCCTTAATGGCCCACCCGTTAACAAAGGTGGGGGGGTGAGTTTCTGCTTCTGAGTTTCTACTTCTCTTTTTATGGGAAATATTCTTCCTTTATAATATTTCCTAGGATATTTCATTTTCCCAGGAGAGGGGTGGGTGCTAACTTCCTACATGAGCATTGTATCTCTGTATGAATTGATTTAATAAGATCCCATACTTACCACGCTCCTGTCTCTGCTTGGACAGAACCAACAAGGCACTTCTACTGGATTGCCCCTTGTACCAAGGCTCTGATTTAATATTGCTGCCTCCTCCTCACTAAATGCATGGATTGACCTCAAGTGGAAGTTACTTATTTTCTACTGGTGGATTAATCTATAAAATGTAATATAAACTGCTCCTTCATCACAAGGACACAGCTTTAAAGAGTAAAGTCCCCCCCCCCCCCAAAAAATATCTCTATTAAAATGTTCCATTAAAATGTTCTAGGGTTAGTGCTGTCTTAAATTTAGAGATAGGTATTTGGTTTAATTATACTAGTAGTGTAAAGCAGCAGGGACTAACTACTGAAAATCATACCTAGGAAGGCCAACAAATCTAATTGCCTTTCTGCCTACATAACATAATTTTAAGGCTGAGTATTACCTGATATAGCCCATCATAAGCACTACATCCCATGAAAAGCATAACACAGCAATTTCCAATGAATTAGTCAATTAAATAATGTTAAATTGCTTTCTCTTCCAGCAATCTGGGCTGAAGCAGAATTAAACCATATCTGCTCCTTTATTTTCTGAATGGATTTTATAGGAAGGAAGCTTAATTTCACAACCACACACACCAGCCACTTCCCACTCGATCTACGTCATTTAGGAAGCATGGAGGAGGTAGTCAGCAACAGCAAAACTAACCCAATATCTTCCAAATGGGATAGGCGCAGGGAGAAGGGAGAGAGAAAGGGATTCTTGCTCCAGGCTTAAAGCCCAACAGCTCCAGCAACATATCTTCAGCCTCATCAGAGGCGAGTGGCCGGGAAGGGGTGGGGCCATCCACGGGCATGATTTGCCGGTCCTCCAGACTGGGCAGAATCTTAACATCTGGTTCTATAGAACTGATGGGAACTGGTAGAATCCCACCCCTGAGCCAGAACTAATTATAAACAGTTCCCCAAGATAAGCACACACCTTTCAGTGCCGTGGAATGTTGCCAAAAACAGAAGTATCCAATTAATTATAATAGAAACCAAGAGAGATACCGGAAAAAATCAACCAAAGTACACAGAGCTTCAAGGAGGACTCAGAATCTATCGAACTACTTTGCTTCCTGCAAAGATTTCGTCATTTAGGTCTGACTTTTATCCCTTATGGGGGGGGGGGCAATCACCTCCCAGTCTTACTCCTGAGTTGCCCCTTCTGCTTCAGCTGCTCTTGCCTCCTAGAACAGGCTCCCTTGTTCCTCTGCCTCACTGGTGCCAGACTCCGGAGGTCCGAAGGCAGCCCCCCACTCCCAGATGGTCCTGGCCTCATCCCTGCATCGGACGGAGGACCCTCATCTGAGTCCTCCCCATACTCCCAGCTTGGTCCCCGTTCTTCCCCACTGTCCGATTCCACTGCCGTCTGTACACGGCTGCCGGCGAACCACAGCAATACCTCCCCAAACCCAATATGTAGTTTTACCTGCCTCTAATTGCTTAGAAACATCTGGAACTTATTAAAGAGAGATCGAGATCCCCTGTTCCATTTTTCAAAGGAAGGACATTTCAACAAAACACAGCCCTACCTTTGATCATCTCCTTCCAGCAAACTTTGTCTTCTGCCAGATCTTGGCAGCATTCCTTGCTCACCACGCACTTCTGAAAGCTCACTAGCACCTTCTGCTCCACCTGGAGCTGCAGCAAAAGTCCCTGGCCCATGTCTCCAAAGCGCTCGTTCAGGTATGCAAACTCTTCCAGCATCTCACCAGCTTTCATGAACCTCTCTAGCCTGTTATGGTTTTTGTACTTCTCAAAGAGTTCCTGGGCTTCCAGCAGAAGGCCCAACATGTTCTGCAGCATAAATTTCAGATTGGAGGACAGTTTGCTAAGGGGCTGAGCCTGGAGGAGCTCAATAGGTCTCAGGAGGACCTCCATGCGCTTGATAAGGCGCTCTTTCTGCTTCTTGCAGTATTTCATGTGCTGATATTGACCGTAGATGACGTTTGCAACAGCTAGAATGCGCTCCACAATGTCCATGGCTGCAAGGAAGGAATAATCCCATGAACAAAACATGACTCCACTGGAATGGCTCCATCATCTAACCCAGAAGATTTCAATTACAGTAGACAACTTGTAATGGCCCACAAGTTGGTTTTTGAAGCCTGTCCCATTTCATTATTGGGAACCCTAATCAACAAACCATCAGGTCCTCCATGGAATTACAATTAGGAAGCTTCTTTGGCAAGAGTAAGACATCCTCACCCTCACCAACATCTAGAGAAGCCAACCTGTGTTTGTAGTGCCCTGGCTGCACAGCCAGCTAGCTACAGGCATTCTGGATGAGGTCATGTTATTTCAGGTATGAATTACCCTCGTTGCAATGCTACCGCCCCAAAGCACCACGTTGCCTACTAATACAAAATGATGTACATGCGAACAGAGGCATACAATTGTGTTATGGGGTCTTTAGGCTGCCCTTATCTTAGGTGATAGAGTATCTGTCAAATTGGTTAATCCTTAGATGGTAAACTATCTAAGACTGAAAAATCTAGGAGACATTACAGATTAACAGAATTGAAAGGGATCTTGTAGGTCCACCCACCCACCCAAGCAGAAGACCCTACGCCATCTCCAACAAATGGCAGTCTAATCTCCCCTTGAAAGCTTCCAGTGATGAAGCTCCCACAACTTCTGAAGGCAACTTCTGTTCCATTGGTTGAGTGCTCTCACTGTCATAAAATTTCTCCTTATTTCCAAGTTGAATCTCTCCTGAATCAGTTTCCATCCATCATTCCCAAAAGACATTCTGAAAGAAGCCCAAATCTCTTCCACGTTAATGCCAGGAAAGCTTTAGACGTGAAGAAGATACCAAGAACTGAAGTCAGTTTGAAGTAGAGCTTATTTGGACATAGCATGAGAAGCAAGGACAGCATTATTTATAGGTCTGTCTTGAGGAGAGTGGCCTCCATTAAAAGTCTAATACAGGATGTGAGCAGGTCCTCTCCAGCTCTTCCCTACTTTCATTCTCCTCACAGTCAGTTCCTCCCCAGCTGACATTTCCTGCAAGTTCAACGTGGCCTCAACAAGTGAAAACTGTGCGCTGCCTCCCTCGTGGGTCCCTTCAGCCCCATGAAACAGCAGCATCTTTCTCTCTCCCTCAACCTCCTCCAGCTTACCTCGTGTCTCTAAGATGTCTTCTTCTCGACTCTCTAAGATGTCTTCTCCTCGACTCTCTGGGTTCAAAAGGTGCTTTCAGATTTTCAGCAAAGCTCCTGCAGTTCCGCTTTTCCAGATGTTGCCCCTACTTCCTGCCAAAGAGTGACAAAAGGGATTATGCAAGCTGGGAAACTCTGCGTGCCACTCAAGCTCAAGTAAATATAGTTTCAGTTTCTGAAAATACCCCAAGCTCAGAGGAAGACTTCTTAAAAATCTGGAGTGAATGAATGACTGTTTTAATTTTTTATCCTGCAGGAGGAAAGAGTATTAGGTATGTTTGCAATCCTGAACTATTTATAAAGTAATACACTTTATAAATAATTCAGGGTTGCAAACATACCTAATACTTCTTTCTCCTGCTATTTTCCCTACAATAACAACCCTGTGGGATAGGTTGGGCTGAGAGAGAGTGACTGGTTTAAAGTCCCCGAGCTGGTTTTCATACCTAAGGCAGGATTGAGAATTCACCATCTCCTGATTTTCTACGCCAGTACCTTCACCACTACACCAAAATGGCTCCAATTTATGGTTTGTCACGCAGTCAGCCAGATGTTTAAATTGGGTTTAACGTTTTTTTTAATCCATCTATCAAATCCTTCCTAAGGATCCAGAATATGCAGGTGTTGTTTGATGGTATTAAAGGTATCGCAGGATGTAAACTGTTTCCAATAAAGCTGCATTTTTCAATTGATAGGTGACTTTGTCAATGATGGTGATATTCAAGTGGTGCTCCAGATGTTTTAGAATGGCTGTCAATGTACCCATCACTATCTTTGCTTTCTTTTACCAAAGTCATTCTACTCCTATTGTCTCTGTATTTTGTTACCTTCTCTAGTAGTGCCATGTCCACTACCCAGATTTTTTTGTGTTTTTCACATCGATAATTGTTAAGTCTGGAGTGTTTGTTATTATTGCCTTAAAATGCCAGAATCTGCTATTGCTGGTTAGTGTGACAGTGAGGCTATACAAAGACTTTGGATCCTATCCAATCTTCCAATACACACTACTTCTATACCCTCATAACTATATACATTATTTACATTTCTATTCTTATGTCTATTGTCAATCCAGACACACCATTGTTGAAAGGTGTCAAAATGCCTTTCTTTCGAGGATTCGATTTTCCCGCTGGGAGAGCTCCAGCACAAGGATAGGGACAACTGCTTGAAAGCTGGATCTTTTTATTTTTCAGGAAGGCAGTGGACAGCGAGAAGTCCGCATTCCTGGGCTAGCTGGCTTCTTATGGTAAGTCCCTGGTTTTTATACCCTTTTCTCCCTTTGTGAGTTGATTTCGTGTGAATGTTTGTATTTGTGCTTAATGTTTTAAATCCTGTTTGAGTTTGTCTTTATTCCCGCCGGAGGGCAAACTCCGCGGGGTGGTTAGATTGTATTATCGGTTTTTCCTAATCTCTTTTAGCTTTATAATGGTTTTTTTTTTCATATTTGTTTTGTGGCAATCTCCTGTCTGTCTCTTTTGTAATTTATATTTTTTGTGTCTTTTGTCTGTTTGTTTTGCTTATTTGGTCTGTCCTGTGTTTGTAAGGGTTTCCTTTTCTTATTTGTCTAGTTTACTTAATTACTTAGGCTTTTGTCTATAGGGATCCTTTAATACCTTTTATTTGATTCCTTTTCATATGTAAGTTTGTTTTATGGCTGGCCTGATGTTCCCCTTGGGCTTTTCCTGTTTGAGTGACACTACTGTCTTCGTGAAGTTCCCTTTCCACACCATGTTTCCCATATTGCATTGTATTCCATGTCAGCTTTCCCTTTTAGTTCCATAGTTAATTTGTCCATTTCCATGCACTCGAAGATTTTTTTAATTATTAAACCTTCGGGAGGTATGGTGTTTTTCTTCCAGTACTGTGCGTAAGAAATTCTAGCTGCTGATACTACATGTAATATACGATATTTTATCTTTCTGTTATAGTTTCTTTTAATTATTCCTAAGAGGAATAGTTCCGGGATGAAATCAATTTTATTTTCAATTAACTCCTCTAACCACATATGAATCACTTTCCAATATTTCTTCGCTTTGGGGATTGACCACCAAGAATGAAAGAAGGTACCTTGTTGATGTCCACATTCCAGCTATTTGGTTTTAGATTTGGGTAGATCTTAGCCAATCGTGAAGGCGCCATATATAAGATAGGGTAGGATGTATAAATGTATATATATATTGTCACAGTATTGTTCAATTAGTAATGGTATTATGTATAAACGGAAAAACCCAATGAAGTGTTGGGGGGGGGGGAACCAAAGACTTTGGAAGTTGTCTAATAAATATTTCAGAATGTGCAAACTGATCTGGGTTGGTCAAGAACAGATCATACCAAACAAATCTTAGTTCATTCTTTGAAATTGGTGGACCAGCAAAATGCTCTGGAAATAATATACTTGTCATCTTTGGAAGCCATATTGAAACCAGACACTCCCACACTGCCACATTTTGAGCTTGGGAAAATGGGAGGGGGGAATTTCTTGGAGTGTATGTAGTTAGACATAATAACTTTCTTTTTCTAATTCAAGGTCATGTTAGTTTGCGCATAAGTGAGGGGAAGTCTCAAATTGGGGCAGATAATGATTGGGGCATGTGATGTGATGGTGGATGCAGGGGGTGGATTTGTAATTTTTACTTATTGCAAGGAAGCCCAGAACTTTCAGATTCAGGTTTCCCCAGATGTGCCAGTTTACTATTCAATTAAAACAGAACTTTTGAGAGGATGTCTGTCTCGGAGTTATTTGTTGGAGTGGATGTTTTCTGGAACGCTGACAATACTTGGATTTCAGTAAGGCATTTGACAAAATAGACCACAACCTACTTCTTAGTAAATTAGAAAAAAATGTGGGAAAGAGGTCACCACCAGATGGATTTGTAACTACAGCATATGGAGGGAAGTAAGCAGTGGGGTACCCCAAGGTTCTGTTTTAGGTCCAGTACTCTTCAACATCTTCATAAATGACTTAGATGAGGGAATAGAAGGGGAATTCATCAAATTTGCAGACAACACCAAGCTGGCAGAATGATCAACACTCCAGAAGATACGCTCACGATCCAGAAGGATCTTGACAGATGCAAACACTGAGCCCTATCTAATGAAATTAAATTCAATGGTAAGAAACGTAAGATTTTACACTTAGGCAAGAAAACCCAAATGTACAGGACAGACTAAGTGAAACCTGTCTCGAGAACAGTAACTCTGAGAAGGATCTTGGAGCCCTAATGAACAATCACTTAATATGAGCCATCAGTGTGCGGCAGCAGCCAAAAAAGCCAATGCATTCCCAGGCTGTATTAACAGAGGTTATTATATTTAGGTGGGAATTACTGAGATAGACCAGCAGATTCAGGGTAACTCTTTTATTCAAACGCTAACAAGGGTAAATTGCAAACTGTGCACTAACACAGTGGCTAACAGGCAACAGCTGGTCGCGTCTGACAGCAGTCTTTATATAGTGCACTCTCGGATGCGGTAGACAATCAGCTGTCGCGCTGCTTCCCGCTTGTTCCTCGGACCAGACAGGAGACTTTAAAACACAACACTCTTCCTCCCTTGGAGTGCGCATGTGTAGTCTTGCAGATACACAGGCTGTCACTTGCTCCTGGAAGATCTTCGCAGCAGAGACCTTGGATTTTGTTTACTGGGGGTGTTTGTCCCTGGAGTTTCTCCTTTCGGCCCTTTTGGATTTAGTCCAGGTGAGGCAGTCACCCTTTCAGGAGGGCAGCAGGGTTGAGGAGAGGAGGTATCATCATCACATTGCTTTTGAAGGCCTGGCATCTGTTTCCCAGGTAAGTCTTGCATGTTTCCTTGTGGTCGGGATTTGTTGCTT